TTATTGGTAAGATACTGCTCTCATCCCTAAAACACAGCATTTCTAGTTACACTTTTATTTCAGATTTAATTAAAAAATTGCTGTACTTTGCAGGGTTCAGAGTTGAAATGGGGACCGCTGGTAGGGTATCACTCTGTAAAGCCGATGTGATGTTATAATTTATGACAGAACATATGCAAAACTTGTGCCACAGTTGAATTCCCCTTCCCTAAAACAAAACCCAAACCAAAAAATGCAGATTCTAACATTGCAAGATATCTCATGGCTTTTGCAAATTTGGAGGGTCAGGTATTCTTAGAAAGGGCTCATTTGATTTATCAATTTGTCAGTCAGTATTGAAATCTGGTCTTTTTTCCCAAGCTTTGAAGAAGCTCTTTATGTCACCCAGAATCCCAGAGAGACCCTTTGAACATATTACAGCTATTTACATTATTTGTTTAAACAGGAAGAATATTTAGGAAAGCATGAGATGTCTAAAGCTGTCTAACTTTAAAGAAGTTAGATACCTGAAGAATGGAGTTGCAAGACTGAATTCAGTGATTCTAACTGTGCATTTTCCTTCCTCTGATTTCCTGTCCTAGACATAGTTTAGCAACCTGGTAGAAGTTGAGCATTGAGCTAAAAATAAACTATGTCTCTTACTTGTACATTCTAGCCATGCAAAAAAAGGTGTCTTCAGTAACTATCCAGTAAAACTGGCAGCAGGGAGCATTGTCCTTTATTAGCCTACATATAAATGTTTTGTTGCCTAGTGCTGCACTAGAAGACTTAGGAGGATTTAAGTTTACAGATACATTTTAATTATTTTTGCTGTCAATAGTCAAAAGTATAAAGGATGTATATTGATAGAAAACACATTAAAAAAATTCAGATTAATCTCATATTTATTATCTGTAATAAGGTCGTCCTAAGATCACAGTTGGAAATTGAAAAAAAACTAGAATGAAGCTGGTGAGCAAATGTGCTTGCTGCTGTGGCAAGGGCTATATAAAGATACTAGAGGACAGATGCTGTTGTATGAGCTTATGATGTGAGCAGATGAAGAATGACTTGGTTTTGCTCAAAATAAGAGTGCCACGCAGGTGCAAAGCCCAAACTCTATTCTGTGTTTCCTAAAGAGGTTTCCTAGCCATTTCTGTTCCTTCAAATAAAGCACTGCACTTGGACACCTGGATGCCAAAGTACCTTCCTTGTGCTGGGTTGGTACTTTGCAAATGAACCTTTAGTTAGCAGCAGTGTAAAGTAATGCGCAGCATACTCTCTAAGGAAGGGTGTAGGAACATGCTACAAGAATAAGAAAGTTTTAAACACCTGGAGACCTTTCATGGGTAGCATGGACACCTGAATGCTCAAGCCAGTGAGACAACTGCAGCTATGTGTTGACCATCAAGCGCTCTCAGTAACAAAATCCAATATGTGCTCAGAAGCTGGAAGGCAAAGTGAAGCAGTTCTTTTCCTTTTCTAAAAAACCTGTATGCCCCTTGTTTGAGGACTGAGGGAAGGGAAATACAGCATAATATGCTCCTGAGACAAGGTCATTACAAAGCTGTAGATTAGAAACTGTAAAAATAAGAGTCCTAAGGAAATGGCACTTAAGTTAATGAAAACTAGAAGACTCTTGTCATAAGTCAGAGAGTTAATCTACAGAAAAAGTTCAAACTTCATTTTAATCATGTCATCTGCTTACAAGGGTTGACTGAGTGGTTAATGCAGAAAAAGAATATATTCCCAGAATTTCAGCTGTAATTCAGTCCAGTCTAACTGGAAAGTTATCTGCTTCTTAAAAAAGTTTTCCTACTGATTTTCAGTGTTTATCTTTGCAGATAAACAAAGCACAGAAACAGATAAACAGAAAGCACATCAAAGTGGAATTCTCACTTGTAAAAAACCAGGCAGAAAAGAAACCTAAAAGCTAAAAACAAAGCCCAGGCCTCAAAGAATATTGAACTTGCCAGTGTAGTCATATACACGATTGAAACATGGCATGGGGAAAGTTCCAAGATCAAGCCCTTTTTCCTGAGAACTGTGACTCAGTACTCAGGTGTGAGACCTATTGTCAAACCCAACATTTGCATTGTTGTTTGTACTGGTATGGTCAAAGACAAGGTCATGTAAATAAAATTCATTGATTTTGAGTTTTGAAGCTTACATTTTATCTATTTCTTACTCTTACCTGTGGTGAATTTATCATCTCTCATTATACGATGTCTTGGTTGATTATGATCTTGAACTTCTTGAACTTGCATTGCGATTGTTTCTCACCAGTCATGCACTGACATTTTCTTTGAAAAAAATGTCTCAGTTGATATGGGCTCAAGGGCAAAAAACGAGCTAATTTTTCTTCAGTGTATGTGGATCATGCTTCGTCTAAGCTCAGTGTAAACCTGGGGTCAGTGGTGCCATGTGTAAAGCTCTCTTTATACTGTTGGAGCGTGTCTGCATTAGAAGTTTATATTGCTGTGGTTACAACAGTATAACTTCACTGGTGCAGGAGTCAACATAATTAAAGGAGGGGGCACAACAGCCCTGTTGGCGTTATTCATAATGAAGACTAAAGATGGAGCTTTCAAAAGTACTGAAGTGACTTACAAGTGCGACTTTCATTGTATCGCAGGTCACGGATTCATTAATTATTCTTAAACCATGTACACAAGGATATTTTATCCCCAAGGATATTTTATCCCCACTAGCTGGACTACTATAGTCATATGGCTATATCTGTAGTACAGAAGTAGACCCATGATTTCAGATAAGAAACTCTATAAGAAATTATTTACATGGGACATATCTAAATAGCATATGTATCTGTATTGCAGCAGTTCTCTTGACCTGAAACAGCACAACCCTCCATGTGAACAAACACTAAGGGATTTTAATAATCCTTCACTTTAACATTGCTGTTCCTTTTCCTAAATAGTCAGGGTTTTAAATCTAATAATATTTTGTTGTGTTTTCAGAGGGAAGAGAGAATAATCTATAAACTACTCATGTCTGAAAAAAGATCTGAAATCACACAGTTTACTGGTTTCCTCTACAGATTAAGATGCAGTTGGCCAGCTCTGTCCTCAACAGCAAATGTTACATGAATTACAGAGAATCCATATCATGTTTCAAGGAAAGGGAGATTTTATACAAGAAAATAATTTTAATTCTACAAGTTCCTGTATTTCTGCTAGCACTGCTAGAAAAACAAGATTATAGTTTGCATTTAATACAAAAAGTAGATTTGCTGATATAACTGTTATTTGCACTGTTTATATTCAAATGTCCTTTAAAAAAAAGCATAATCAAAATTTACTGATAGTAGGAGTGTGCAAATCAGAACACTTATCTGCTTTTTATAGACTAAAATAAAATTATTCCTCGCATTTTTCTCAGTTACAGAATATTAGATAGCAGTGACTGTAAGTTACTTACTTTTTTTCAGAAAGTTATATTCCAAGCCCAAAATTGAATACCACATCAAGTCTTTTTAATGTTTTTAAAAATTCTCAACAATGATTACTTGTCCTTCTGTATCAATCTAGTATCATTCCTAAAGCTACCCATGGCAGCAAAGAATAGCTCACATCACAATCAGATTCTTAATTAATTACCTTGTAGCCTGCTATCTTAAAAATACAGGTCGAAAAACGGTATTTTAACCTTTTAATTTTTTTAACCTAATAAAATAACCGACTTGTTTTGTGACCTGTAATTCTGAATCTGATTGAGTTTTCAATATACTGTAATTCACAGATTTTCTCCCCTCTAGCACTAGGTTTGTATCTGTCACATGGTTTTCAGTGTTCCTAATGAGCTGTTAACAAGCTGTCAATTACCTATGCAAATGAGGCAAGCAGAAATGGAGGGGTTGCTATACCTAGAGTTAAAGTGTGCTACCTCGGATTGTTACGAAATAAATCATTTCAGCTTTAATAGCTGTCTGTGCCCATGTGGCTTGTGTTATGTAGGCACTTTTTCATTATATTATTTACCCAGCAATAAAATGCTGCAGGGGACTTTGGGGGTGATTAAAAAGTTGAGGGGGAGGGGAACTCAGGCAAGCAACTTCATTCTTTACTGATATGCACCTTCTGCTCTTCTTGGGTCAGGGCTATGAGGCTACAAGCTGTCAGGTGCCCTTAGCCCTTTTGAAATTGACGACATTTCAGGGGTTTAGGCCTGATCCTGCCAGAATATTTAACAAATGTCTTTGCTGAGGTGTGTAATGGAGCTTCATGAGTATACAAAGTTAAAGAGAGGAACAAGGAGCTGAAATCTTGAATTTTTGAGAGAAGGGTACTTTTTATGCATGTATTCTCAGCCTTCTAAGAGCTTTCTACAGGAAAGCCTGGCTGGAGAAATCTTGCACTTTTATTTGTATTATCCTGTAAGGAATTCTTTCCCCCTTGCTGAAGTCATTGAAATTTCACATTTAAATTATTTTTCACTTTGCTTTAGCTTGAAGTTGATGCTTACTGTAAACCATTTTGTGATATTTTGTATGAAGAATGTTGTATAAAATAAAATTGCATTGTATTTATGACCGGCACTATAGTAACAGTCTATCAGTGTTTCCATTATAAGCCCCTATTGTTGAGGGCTTTAAAACTCACCCATAAAAATTCACTCAGGACTGCAGCAAGGTCTATAAAGGATAAATAAATGCCTTTGGCTATTTTTGAGTTAGAATAAGTGAAATCGAGAAAGGAAATTTGACTTTTAGAGGTTTTCTCTCATTTTGGTATGTGTGTGTGTATATATATATATATACCTTTTAAAAAAATGAGTCAGAAACATTGTTTCCATTATCTAGGAAAGTGTTATAAAAAAGCACCTAGAAAAATTAATGGATTGCATTGTTTAGCTCCAGCCCATACCTAATCGAGGATGCTTGTTAAATCTTCTCGCACCATCAGGCTTCAACTCCTGAATTGTCATTGATTTCAAGAGGGGTAGGGACACTTGACAGCTGGTAGCCCTGACCCAAGAAGAGCAGAAGGTGTAAACCAGGAAAGAATGAAGTTGCTTGTGTGTGTTCCCCTCCCCCTCAACTTTTTAATCACCCCAAAGTTCCCTGCAGCATTTTATTGCTGGGTAAATTTGCACACTTGGCCAACTCAGCTGAAAGGTCATTGGCATATGTACTTTTCTTCTGTCCTTACTTCCATTATGTGTGAGGTTCAGGAACCTGAAATTGTGCACACTGAAGCCAGGAAGCCTGGTGTGAAGCAGAGAGAAGTGCTCTGGTAGGAAGCCAGAAGGAGAGGAATTTGAGAGCTATAATGATGTGAAAACCAGTAAATAGAAAGGAATTAAATAAAAATCAAGAACGTTTTTTTTTCAGATGGGAGAAACCCCAAAGAAACAGTCTGCAGGGAAATTAGTAGTCTAAATCTTTCTCTGATCAATCCTGATGGAAGCTTTCTGGTCAAAATGTCAGTGGTAACTTTATTTTCTGCTGGTATGTACAATAATCCTTTTGTTCCATCTGCAAACACTAGGGGGTAAATTTTTAGCGTGATGCTTAGGGATTTAGCTGTAGGACTCCCATTAACGATAATGGGAATCATGTAGCTTGAGCACTCTGCATCGTGCTGAATATTTACCCCTCAGTTCAGAGCACTCTCTCATTGAATTTTTAATTATATTTACAGATAAATTCCATAACCAAATATCATCAGCTCTCAAGCAGATTGTTTTATTAAAAGGTGCAGATTTCCAGCTTCATTTTGAGCTACAACCTACAGTGATTGGTTTAGCAGCTGAGTAATTTTTTTTAAGTGTCTATTTAATAATGCTTGATTTGTCAGCTTCAGAGTGTTTGGGAGACAATAAATATTAGAAAACATCCCACCCTGCATGCATGTGCCAGAGAAATGCAAAATGTGAATATTCTACCTTGTACTGAGCTTTTAAAAGGTGTGTCATGATACAGCTTCTCTACAACCTCTTTCTGGTAAATGCTACTTCTGTATAAATCTGTGGTTAAAATCAGTAGTAGTATACCAACATTCAGCACTAATATGACATAGGCTGTATAGTTTTATTCGCATTTGTGAAGATAAATGATAGGAGTCAAAAAAGTTAGGAGATTTGCCCAAGGACAAAGGGGTTAATGTAAGAGAGGATATTGGAATTCAAGAGTCCCTCACTAAAATGCTGTATAACCTATGCTTACACCAAAATCTAATACCAGTATAAGCAGATATAGAAGAGATGGTACACATACTGATCTGCTTTGCTCCTCCCTGAGGCACGTTTCCAGTTGCTTTTGCAGCTCTTAATTCTTGAACTACCTACAGCCAGCTCTGCTGTGACCCTGCTGAAGCAGCCTGTGAAGTAAGAATGTTTTTGCTGGTTTAGTTCATATTTGCCTAGCTGGGACAGTAGAGATGCTCTTTGTTTTAAGATATGGGTGAGATTAATCTCTCTTTCCACGAGTTTTGTAATGGAGATTTAAAGGCTGCTCAGCTAGGGCTGAGGTAGAAGGGCTGTTGTATAGCTGTTTTGCTGGTGCAGTTATTCTAGGGGCTCCCATTCCAGTACTCAACTGCTGTCAGCAGAGTGTTAAGAATAAAAGCACAAATCATAACATCTTTTTAGTGCCACTCACAACTGATATATTTCACATGTCACTTTGGCTTCTGCCAGAGGACTGGACTGACACAGAGCAATCCCAAGATCAAAAAAGCACAAAAGCATTCTGACTGAGCCTTGCTGTCCCCTCCAGTTTCTTCCCATATGATGACTAGTTGTCCTTAATTGAAACAACCGTTTCAAAGCATGTGCCTATAAAATATTGCCTGCATAAGAGGTTGCCTTTGAAGATTTTTTGGTGCTATGTAAATGAACCTGAGAAATTTATAAACTTGAAGTTTCTGCATCAATGCACAAGAACTACCCTCATGTGAAAGTGCTTGCCTGGTTCCTTAGGAGGTACAATGTTTTCAGTGAAGGGGATAATGGCATTTGAGCAACTGACTTGAGAGCAGAGACTCTCCCATCATATGTTTATACATAATCCATTCAATTCCTATTACAACCACCAAAGTTCAGATAAAACACTTATTGCTTCCTCACCCTTTCCAGTAACCTACAAGTGTTTGGAGCATTGATGCGGTGCCTCTGTGTGCTTCTAGAGTTTGGGCTTGCAGTCCCACATTTTCCACCACAGCAAGACTGGTGGAGTGTCTGTTTGCCTTTGGTAGAACACAACTGAACATCTATCTCCATTCATGGCAGCAGTCTTGAAACAGGATTGATTCCCTCTTAAATTCAGTGGAAATCCCCATTATAGTTGATAGCTTGAGATCAAACCAGAATACCGTTTGGAAAAAAATGAATAGTGATCAGTGTCTCTTCTCAGTGCTGGTGATTGACTGTACAAGACAATGGGAGAACCTTCACAATATTTTAGCCAAGAAAACTTATTTTTTTTCTGTATGCTAATCTTATATCTGAATATATACCTTAATCCTAGTATTCATATATCTCTGCCCTCAGTAATCATCAGCCCATCTCTAATGTTTCTTTTGTTCAGGAAAGGTAAACTCTTCTCACTTTTCAGTAGAAGATTGCACAAAGGGAACTTTATGGTATATATTACACTCACAAAGCAGTTTTCTCCATCTTGCAATCACTTAAAAAAAAAAAAAATAGAACTTTCTTCTTATCTCATCTTCCTTCCTGCATGAATGTCTGAGATAATCAATGAAGTTCCTGTGTAGAGAATAAATTGAGCTCGAATGGCTCCTCTTAAACTGTACAATCAAAGAAAGAGGAATTTTTTGCTGATGATTTTGATATTCAGTTTAACTTTCTTCACCAGGCTGTCAGCTCAGTGAAAGTGAGGTCAATCTGACCACACTCTTCCTAAAGGATCCTCTTCTGAACCATCTACTTGAGTATACAGCTCCTGACAAATCAATGACAAAATCGAGAGGTATGTACTTTGCCCAGAAACCTGGAGGCTGATTGTCCTTTGCCATGCATCTTATGTAGCCATTTAGGTGAGTGCAGCGTGGGCAGTGCCTGATAACAATAGTAACTGTTAGCATGTGCATCCCGGTGATGTAAATGCCTGCCTGAAGACGCAGGACAACAGAGATGCAGACCTCTGTCCTACAATGTAAAGAGATTCAGATTATGGCAAGTGTGGGGCATATGAGCACTCACACCCGCACTCACACCCACACCCGCACCCACACCCACACTCACACCCACACTCACACCCACACAAAGAAACTGTTGCTGTGAAAGGGTGGTAAATGACTGGCAATCTTAAATTAAGATTCTGGAGTTGTTGATTCAGAAATCTGAAGTTTTTTACAGGACGGGTGTTGGGAGGCAAAAAACTAAGCAAAATGTAGGAATTCACAGAGACCAAGAAACCTGCCTTTCCCTCTTTCAGTTGCATTTCTTGGCCAGAAGCACTTGCTGCAAGCTCTGGAATAGGGACTGTCACGCTCCTGTGAAGTTATAGCATGGTGGGGCTGTGGCACAAGAGCAACAGAAGTGTAGCAAATGTGACTAAAAACTCCCCAAACATACTTTTGCTAAATTATCCAGATCTAGCCAAATTTCTCAGGAGTGAACAACAGTTGTATGAAACAATTCAGATCAGTCTCTAGGGTTATTGCCCTCAGACATTTACCAGTATGGGACTTTCCTGCTCAAGATGAGAAGGCAGTTGTAGAGGAGGAACAAAACTGAAGGGCAGATCTGGAATGCTGGAAAAATGGTTAGCTTGAGAGAGTTCCTTAAAATTCACACCTAGTGTCACTGAACACGTGTGCCTTGCGCTTGGGCCAGAAAGGTTTTATAGGTGAATCAGATTCCTCTATTCACGGACAAACCCTTGTACCTCATCCTCCCCTTTTTCTCCCAAAGGTTCTCTTCTGCATCCTGATGTAAAATGAAGTGGTATGTATGAGAATTAGAGTATTACATCCTGGGTAATATCCTTTGTGTTGCTCTCTATTAGCTCTCAATTCTTGGGAATGCATTACTGCACTATTTCTTTTGTGCCAATGCTATTCCATCAAGGCCAGTGCTGGCTTACTCAGTTGTATCAATGATTTCTTCTAAGGTGGCTGAGACAATATGTTGTAATATGTATTATACTATGTGATTTTTAAATCAGCCTTGCAAACGTATTCTAAAAATTTTACAGCTCTCCAGACAAATCCTATTGTCAATTATTTCTAATGATGATTGCCGATTAGCAGAAAACAAATAAAGAGGCTATTTTTATACACATAAAAAAGATAAGCTGAGTGAACACAATCCTTTAGGAATGAGAATTTTGCTTTGGCCCATACTGTAGAAAGCTTTTCAGTTGTCTTGTAAAAGATGAAACAAAATACATCAAATGATTTTGAAATTGTATATGTAACAATACAAAAGTGTCAAAAAGTTAAACATGAATTGAAACATATTTTCACTTTGAATTACAATTGATAATTATATTCAGATAAGGGTTTTTTTCAGCTGAAAAAATGAATTAAAGTTTATTATTTCAATTTTAAGAGCATTAAAATAATGCTACTTTCTGTTTCATGAATGCAATTTTACACAGCTAAGATCACTTTTCTAATCTACGAGTGTTATAATATTTTAAAATAATGTTGATATTTAGGAACAAACTAAAGGTGGGTTTTGTTTTTTTTTTTTAAATGTCTTCTTACCATGCTCATGCTTTTTCCATCCTTCATGGATGAAGGTCTTTGAAAATTCCTTTGTGTCCCATATTAGCAGTGAATGATACTAACGTACAGTTGTTTTTCTTGGCAATGTGTATTGTATAGTCAAACTTTCCATGAATGATAAGTGATATTCATTAACCTATATAGTCCTAAGCCAAATCTGCGGGCAGCCTGATCCAGACTGTGTATGTGGCCGATCTGTCACTTACAAGCAGAGGACAAAGGCTATTCTGTACTTAGCACAACTTGGAGACAAGTGTAGCACTCTCAGCTCTGCTCTCACCATTTAGATGCCAGAGGGTTGCTCTGGTTTGTGCTGTATAACCCAGAGTATATACCATGGTAGCTGGGCAAAGCTGTAGTGTATTATATGTTCCTACAGACAAAAGTGTGGCCAGCACCCCATGGGGCAAGAGTGCTCTGTGCCCTCTGAGGTTGCCTTCTCTGGGTTGCCTTACACCACCCCATGCACATAGGCAGTGCAAGGGGCAGGCATACGAGAGGTGGTATTTTTGACTGGCCACATTATATGAGGCTGAATTTAGGACGTGCAGGGCTCAGGCGTGATTTTCTGTTGCTGGCCATGCTCCACCCCTCAGGCCTGAGCAGGTAAAGTTTAGGAAGATCCCTGCAGTCAAAGGATCCTGACCTTATGCTAAGACCATTCAGCCAGTCCAGGTTTCTTTGTTCTGGGGACAGCTTTCTGCTCAAAGGCAGAGCTCATCCACCTTCTTACACTGAATTTTCACAATGTGTCACTGTATATTGTCCAAACTTATACTGCTTATTTATTTGAGATCTGCAGCTTAAAGATAGAAGTGTATGAAAGAAAAAAGAGAAAAAAGGGTTGGAAGGTGAGAGGGCTGATACTGGTAGGGATAAGTGAAGAGAAGGAGAGAGGCAGGATGTTTATCAAAAGGACCAATCTGAAAGGCATGTAAATCCAGTTAAGATCTTGAAAACAGGTAGCTCTCATTAAAGGAAGTGGAAATAAAGTCAATTAGTGGCAGGAGGCATTAGTTGGGGGCGTCAGCTGGTGAATGGTCACTAATTTGATGTAGTCTAATCACATAGTTTGGCTATTTGATTACCAAATTGAGATCCAAACACTCTCCTTCCAGGGCAATCACTTCAGAAAAGAGGGTAGCTGGAATCATCATGAGATCTGATCCATTCCTTAATTGAAATTAGTTTTAAATAGCTGTAACACATGTCATGTAAAACCCAGCAAATAGTTGCTGAGACATGGTGTGAAACATGGTGGTTCAGGAAAGTTGAGGATGCATGACCAAGAGCTGGGCATCAGGCTAAGTTTTGAATGTGCATGTGGAGGTTCATACACACATGCGCCAAGAGTGGGCCTGTAGAGGCTTTTCTGTTTGCAGTGTTCTTAATCCATAACTCATTCCCTATTGACAGTTGGTTCTGTTTGGATGAAATGGGTCAAGAATGACAAAAATCAGTTTGCTTTCTGGTGGCTAGCCAGTAGAGATAAACTAGTACACATCCACAGGTTGTATGTACCTTGTTCATAAGAGTTTCTAGTACTGTTTACTATTTGGCATTAACAGGAATGGATGGTTAGGGGAAAAACAGAGGAAACAGGAGACATATGAAGTGATTTTTTTTTCCTGACAATCGATGGTTTAGCAATTTCCTGAATCAGAGGTTATATCCAGATGTAAGAAGCTATCCTTTATAAATTTGTCTAATCTTTCAAATCTGTTAGTATTTTTGTCTCTTGTAATCATCTTGCAGCAGAAAATTTACCCAATTATGTGATCAGTGCAAAAACTGGCTTCCGTTGTAAATGTGGTGCTTGCTCATTTCATTGGGTGCCCCTTCCTTCTGATACTGTGGGAAGAGGAGTAATCAATGCGTGCATGCTTCTTCTGGGCAGTATATGGCCTTACACATCTCTGACCAGTCCTCCTCAATTATCTGTCTTGCTCACTAAAAAAAGATACGAATTCCTCACATTCGTTTTCTCGGCCATGCTGCCCTTCGCACTAATTTTTCTATCATCTCTTTTTCGTATTGGATGACTATGCCCAGGCATATTGTTCAGGTTTTGTCTCCCTCTGCCTCATTTTCCCATCCAGTCATTTTTGATATATATGTTGCAGGAAGAGGAAGGGTGTCCAGTGGAAGACTGCTTCTCTGGCCATTTTACCATTGTATTCCTGAAAGTATTTTACCCGTTCTGGAGCTTACCTCAAGGCTGGATAGAGCAAGAGCTCTGCCCATATCATAGGCTGTATTTCTAGTGTCTGCGATATGTTAAGTGGAGCAATGCAGTGCAGTGTGTGACACCTTTAAAGAACCTGTTTGATGTTAAGCTGTGTCTGTAATTATACAGGTCATGATTCAGCACATAGTTACATATCTTCATGCAGAGGAAGCCTCAGTGAGATGCTTTGAGTTAGGCATATGCTTAACTATTCGAAATTGGTTTAAACTACTGGTTGAAAGGTGCGCATGGGACCAGAGAGATGTGAAAGTTTCCATTTCTGCTTGCTAGCACATATCATAAGTGCAGACAATGCCAAACTTATGCTTTGTAGAAACAGAAAATCACTCCCAAAACACATCCATGTATAAAGAGGCTGCTCCAATTTGCAGTAGAACTGAAATGCAATCTTAAGTGTTTTTTCTTTGCAGGTAGGGGTGTGTGTCAGCCAGGAACAAAAGAACCAGCGAAAGAAGTATCCTAGGCAATTTTTTGCAAAGGATTTAAGGTTTTTTTTAGCTTGGTCTGGGGATCATCAGGGTTGGACCTTAGCACCAACAACCTCCAACAGACTGCAATGGCTCTGCCTTTAATACACTTCCACCCCTATGTGTTATACATCCATAATACTGAACACACGAGGCAGACAGCTGCCCTTAGGCATTCTCAGTAAAAACTTTCATATCACAACAGAACTGAACGTACCATTATAACACCATGTCTCCTTTTCTTCATGCTAAGGATTGTTCTGAAAACCAGGCAATGTCATGGAAACGTTATAATAGACACATTCAGAATATATCGGTAAGTTAGTCATCCTTGATGATATATTTAAGCTGTTCCTTCTACTATATATATAACAGGTTAAATGTAATTAACATTGGTCAAAGGGTCCTTTTACTTTACATACTTTATGAATGTATTGAATTATCAGGAAGGAAAAAGGGAAACAGTATTTCTTAATATCTGCTGGTATAAGCTCCTCTAAGTCATTTACATCACAACATGCATTTTTGCTCCCCAAGAAGCATGAATATTTTCTTTCTCCCTAAATCCCATAATTGTTTTATTGCTACATTAAAAAATGTAAATATTCGTTCCCCTCCCCATAATAAATTAAGCGCAACCTGTCTGGCTCTGAAAATGAACATTTCAATGTCTTCAGACACACAATGACATCATATCAATATTTAAAATCATTTTATGCATGTATTCTAGGTTGTCCAACTTCATTAGGGGCATTCATCAGCCCTCCGGCTACAGCGTATTCCCATCAGAGTTGTAGGCCTCAGGCCCTACCAAACAGAAATTTAAACTAACTTGCCTTTTTAATTCACATTATTCTCAAATATTCTCCTTTTTACCCCCCTGCCATGACTAAGACATTTAGACCAGGCTGATTTTGTGCACATCAAGATTTAACAGACAAAATCCCCATTTTTATGTAAGAAGTTGAATGCATTAAAATAATAGTCTTTCCCCTTTAATTTCCTTGTCTTTTCCCATCTGTCCCTATCTCCTGGGTTCAATAATAACTGTTCTTTTAATTTTGTATGCTAAATTAATAATTTGAGCTACAGGTTGATAGGGATTTTTATGTTTTAAATGTTCTTTTTTTTCATGTTTTTTTTATGTTTAAAATTTAGAAACATTTCAAACAAATTAAGCTTCATTCTTTTTCTCTCTCCTTCTCTTTCCAAAATAATAAAATATAGCCTCTCTTGATCTATTTTTTATACAGCTAAGGATGCACAGCATGAATACATATCCCTGCTAGCAGCATCAAACACTGTTGCATTAGTATAAAATCTTTGTCCTCACAAGCAAAACAAGCAGTCTTCCCATTTTTCTGGTTTGTGGGATGACTGTGGATCTGCTCCCCGAGATGTTTAATGCCCTTCAAAATGCCCGGGTAAAACTCACTCATGCTGTATAGCACAAGAAAGAAAATTGTGATACCAAAAAAAATTTTTATGCTACTGGCCAGACAGTGTAGATTTGGCTGAAGCCTCTGATTTATCCTCCCACATTTGTGTGGAAAGCGTTTAAATGTCCATCATTTGTTACAAAAAAGAATGGAAGCATGTGGAAGGAGCCAAGCAAATATAATGTGCACCTGCAGATGAAACAAGCCTGGGAGAGATATTGGTGACTGAAAACATAAAAGTTGGTGTAATATGTATCAGTGCTACTCGCTCTTCTGTCCAATGTTATAACTGTGTACATGGCCAGAGACCTGACAAACTTGCACTGATGGGTTAAGACCCATTTGCCTCCAAAAAGGAAAGAAGAGAAAAAGCCCAGTAACTGCGGGCTAGCTGTTCAGTCATTTTTCCATAAGTAGCATTTTTTTTAAACAGCTGTATTACTCTAAATTTTATTCTGATCTCTGTTTCTCTCTTTTCTCTCCCTTCCTGCCTTATTTGAGTATTCCTGCAGCCACTTTTTTCCTTATGTCACTACAACCCTCTTCCTTTTTTTGTTTCTTTCCTCTGGTTTTCACAGTCCTTTAGATTGAAGACCTTTCATAGTTATGGCACACAGTGCAGTATGTCAGGGTAAGGGAAGTTCAACCTGCCCCAGTTTTGTGGTGCTCCTTTTGCAGTGGTACAACTAGTCATTGTCTATATTTTATCCTTCTAGAAAAAAGCAGGTGCTGTCTCTTCTGTTGTGGTCCTGGATACCATTCCCATCCAGCAAAGCTCTGTGGCTCAGTTTCTCAAAGATATAAAAATCCACAAAAAAGTTCAGCCTTCTAAGGCCAAAGTTTGCTATCTGAAAACATAGATAATTCAGTACAAGGTAAGTGGAAGCAAGTAGAGGGTTTCCGTATAACTGTACTTTATGACAGGTGAGAACTGGCTTGAAATACTCTCATTGCAACCAAAAAAGCTCCACAATGGTCTGGTATGTTTTTTTTTTTTTTTTTTTTTTTTTTGAGGGGGGGAGGAGGGAGGTGTGCTATTTGTTATTTGGTTTTTGTTGTTTTCTTTTTTGTGTTTTTTTTGTGTGTGTGTTTTTTTTGTTGCTGGTTTTTGGTGTTTTTTTTGGGGGGGAGGTGGTGGTGTTTGGCTTTGTTTGTTTAAACACTTTATTATATTATTACTAGACTTACTCTGTTAAAAGTACTCAGAAAAATATGTCATTCTCCGGGTGTGAGGTGCTCTGAATAATTTTGTCCCCTTTTCCAGTGGGGATTATCCCTACTGTGGTAGAGTCTTCTGTGCCACGCATACCCAGATATCTTCACTTACAGTTTTCATCTTGAGGACAATCCTAGGGAAGAGTCCTGCTAGAGTCTGTTTTCTCTCTACAGTTACCTGCCAGCCTTATTGTGGAGCAATTAGAGCTGTCAGAGGAGTTTGTGCCTTTTGAAACTACTGGCAAGTACCCTGTAATAAATGAATTGGCTTTCTCCATAGGATCATGTCGTGGTGTGGACCTTTCTCTGCAGACTCCATGGCAGACTGCCCTTGGAGCCAAAAGCTGTTTTCACAATATACTGCAATGACAAGCTAATCCTAACATTTCCATTGCCAGCCAGGCCCTATCTGCAGATGTAATAAAAGAAAGATATTTGAGACTAGGAATGCCCACTCTAAGTAGATCACTGAGAAGGGTGATGGCAGTGGTGATGAAAGGACAGTCAAGATTAGATCTCTGGGCACTATGGCAATAAGTTATACAAATAAGAACAACAGGAGAAAAAAAAAGGGAATGTGAAATGATCACAGTAAGGAACAGAATGTAAGAACAGGACTTTGAAAACGGAGCTGGGAAGGAAAAGAATCACCATCACAGGGGATTGAGTAAAGGCAATGAATAAAGAGAAAGAGATATAAGGAAAAGGCAAGCAGACAGGCAAAGAATAGAGAGGAGGAGACACAGAAATACAAAGTAGTGAAAAGATGTAGAATATTAGAAAAACTGGAGAGATACTTAAACTGAAAAAGTCCAAAGCTGAAGATAAGTGAGAATAAAGAAGATGAAAAAGAAAAGTAAAAAACTAAAAGGAATGCTTGATAAATAAATAAATGTAGAAAATATATTTAAAATGAAAAAGGAAGAAAAGAAAAAGAGAAAGCTATTCTATGGAGATGGAGAGAGAATATGAGTGGAAAACTAAGGGCAGTTTTCTATCTTGTAAAGTACTGGTAATCTGCCCATAGAGTAAAACCTGTCATTCCTGTTAGTTATTTATTGCCCCTTTCTCATCAGGCAAGCTACACGGATACAGCTGTGTCCAGGCCTTGTAAGAGGATGGTGCCACTTTTGATACCAGTTTAGATAAAGAGGTCTATATTTATGCTTGCAGACAGACTTTTTTTTTCTTTGTGGCTGTGATATCCTTGTAACTGAGACCTGTAGTGCAAATGAAAGGAGTTTGCTGGACAGATGAAACAACATTTTCCTCTGGGTCTTGGGCTCCATGTCCACTCCCTGCCAGGACAGGTAGGTCCCACACATGTAATACCTGTGAGCTTTGTTGAGAAGTGTCTCCCTCCATGAGGTTGTGGGCATCATGGGAATTAGCATTTTGGATCAGGCTGGAGGTACACTGGGAGAGGAGGGCACATGAGGGAGGTTGCAGAGTGCAGACTGTGCTATGTGTGTGGCTACGGCCAGAGCTTTTTGCTCTCTCATTTTCATCATTTGTTCATAAATTTTTAAAGGAGAAAGAATCATTGTTTAATGCACTTTTGTGAAGAAAACAGAGCAAGGGAGAAAAGAAAAGAAACATTGTGAGCTCCTTACTCCCTAGACTTGTGACCTGCATAACTCCAATCATTGAGTTATCTAGACAGCCTTCCTGTTTAGCCGACATTAAATTTGTATGCTCCCACATGGTTGATTTGCTACTTTTTTTTTAATCCATGCAGCTGGGATTCTCTGAGGGAACATGATGGGTCAGGGGGAGGAGAGGAGGTGAGGACAGCCATCTCCAAAATGTGGTGGACGTGCCTTTCCAGTTCTATGCTAGTTGCACTGAGGCAGGTATAAGCTGACGGGAATAGGCAGCAGCAACCATGCGAACGAGGTCAGAGTTGCTTCCTCTGTGGCTTTTTTCATTCTTCTGAGCTCTCTGAAAATGTGGGTGTGCATGTTAAAACTGCCCTATGAGGCAGCTCTGACATGTGGGGCTGCCTGGCACAAACACAGCACATAATAACACAAAGTATTTGGCAGTGTTACAGGGCTAATCTTTACGTAACTGTTCCCGAACAACTTCTCTAGCACACTGAGCACAAACAAGCTTTTCATCAGCCTTCGGCTGCATGCAGATTGTCTTGTGTCACCTGCTTCTCTACTGAGCAAATACTGGCTGTGGTCATAGCAAGGAAAACCTTCTTTTTGCATTCATAACTGGTTCTATCTAAACTGCCTCCTTTTTTTCCAAGGTTACTCATGAACCATAGGCATGTTTGTCAAGAATGTCCCCTTTTATATATTTTTTTCCTTCTAAGCACAGATGTATGCTGGAAATTTTATTGTGGATTGTTTCCAGGAGTGCAGTGGGAAAACAGGATCTGATTTTTTTAATGGTTGCTCCTCTGTTCACTGAAGTCATAGGAGGAGGGTAAATCTTTTATAGTTAAGACACTGGTGTGGGACTTAGAGGACCTGAGACTGGAATAATAATGTTTCATTCCTTCTGCCCTTTGCCCATCTTGTCAGATTTCAATGTAAGCTCTTTACAATTATCTCCTATGGTTTTGTTGCTGGGTTCAATGGGGCCTGGTCACCATTAAGGCTTTTGTGCTGCAGACAGCAACAGCAGGACACATATGAACAGTAACAAAATCAGGGAAAGACTAGAGCTTCCTAAGCACTTTGATCAGCAGTGGGTCTCCTGCTCTTGCACAAAGGTGATCAGGTGCAAGCCTTTTTCTTGGCAGGCAGAAGATGAATGTTTCTAGCTGTCTCCCCCAACCTCAGGTAGAATCATCCACCCAGTGCCACCTCCCCACCCACAATGCTCCGCAATTTGGGTGCTCTTTTCACTCAGCGTTGCGCAGCCACAACACATGAGCTTCTGCACAGAAAAGCCATTTGGCAAATATATAAATGTATGTACGTTTCTGAATGCTGGAAGAGAGCCCTAATTTTGTTGGCAGCAAATCTGACTCTCCTTCTTTCCTCGGAGAGGGGCTTGCAGCATTCCTTGGTCCCACAGACATAAGCCCTCCCTGGATTTCTCCCAGTGTGGCAGAGTGCTGCCAGTCTGTACCTTTGCTCCAGCAGCCACTCCAGGAGGGGCAACTCCTCTGCCTTGATTCGTGAAGAGGCTGAGTTCCCAGATTCAGGCTTGTCTCATTTCCTTCAGTGCAGTGTAGGTCAAACTGGGACCCTCTCCTGGATCTTGGTTTAATCTTAGCTCACGAGGAAACTTTGCATACCAGGAGGGAGGCAAAGCAAAGAGAGATTGCCAGACCCGAATGTTCTGTAGTTGCAAAGATAGTTTCTAAATACTGAGCTTTAAAAATAATATGGTTTGTGTGGGGAGGGATGCGAAAGGGGAGATTTTTCTATTTGCCTGCTGGGATTTGGAGCCTATAGTTTCTTGGGGACAAATTTCCAAGTTTTTATCATGAACTATAAGGGCTAGAAAACACACTCTTATGTTAAATGAAAGCTGAAATTCTCCCTAGTTCTACACAGTAAAGATCTGGAGCTTTAACCCTGACTAAATAGCAACCAAATCTGTAGCATCAGCCTGTGCAAGATGTCTCTTACCAGACAAAGGAAAATCCATACAAAAAAAGTTGTTAAGGAGTCCTGTGCAAATGCAGCTGTTAAGGGAGCAAGCACTCAGTTACAACCAGGAAGGAGGAGAAGCATTTTCTGTGATGTGAAGGAAGTTCACGTAGTCAAAGATGAGGAGATAGGGTCACCATCTATTCCCAAGACTCTTCTACTGCTCCAGCAGTGTATTGATTTGTGTATCTCTGCAAAGCATACAGAACAGGTCAGAGATATCCCTACAATTCTGTTTAATCACTTGAAGGTATGGATGTTTTCTTTTGCCTACTTTTTTTTCCATCTCCATTTCACTTTCAGTGGGTTTCAGGGCAGGAGTGGGTTAGCATTATTCTTTTCAATATTTCTTCTCCTTTTGTTTTAAATAGGGTTCAATTTTCACAATTTTTAAATCATTCATGAGTTTGCCTACAATGATAGAACGCTTTTTGATTTGCTTCCAAAAGATGTGTCTAAAAGAAACTGAAGTGCTCCATCCTTTCCAAATGCAATGTTTCACTTTTTTTTTTTTTTTTTTAAGAGCACTTCATTTTGGAAGTGAATAGGGTGCTTTGGGCATGGGCACTGCAG